CGACACCCTCTTATTAGAGGGAGTGTCGACCCCACCGACCCTCCCTCCAATGATATAGCGCCGGGTGTCCATTATGGACACCCAGGTGCTAGTGGTAATCTCTAAAAAAATTCTCCTTCTTCACCTTCACCAAGCTGGCTGCAGTGGTCACCAAATCTTCATCTCATTAAACCCACCGAAGTGCCCCCTTACCACCAGTGTCATCCCTCACACCTCCACAAGAATCAAACCTAAATCCAGGTCCCATCTCCGGCGTCAAATCTTCCAATCCATCACCACCACCTGATTCTTTTTGTTTTTTATTAAAAGGATGAGGGTAAATTTCATCATTTACAAGGTGCGTCTATTGCCCAGATGTTTTACCACACAAACAAGCTTTGTAACAAATTCCTCAAACAGATCATAAATATGAAAATAAGCCTCAACCTACACACCCCTCTTTCACCCCCCTTCAACAAACAATTTTCGAAGAATAAGAAGATATGAGGAATTGAGGTGAATGATTTGTCATTATACTTGAGGAATGTTCGACATTCAATTACAGAAGCTCGTTTAACTTCCGAAGAAATCCACTATCAGGATTGGACAAATCGGATTATTTTCTTCAACTAAAAATATAGGTAATTTTTCGGAGAACTTGATATCAGTCTCATGACACAGGCTTCCGACATGTAATGATAGCGAATTTGATAAGACCCTTCTTGTATCCTTCCATCATCAATGGCATGGCCAGTGCTCCTCTTATTGTCTTCCATCCTAAAATCCAAGCGAAAAGTACAACATAAATCGCAAAAAAGAAAATGAAACTGAATGTTCGGTTAATGGGATCATGAAGGACATAGGATTTACCACTTCTTAACAATGAGGTGATTCCGTTCCATGTCAATGCCGACTTTATTACTGCTGGCCAAAACGGGGCAACAGACTCAGACCAGTCTGCAGCTTTAATATCCTGGCACAACAGTTCGGGGCGTATTTTAGACTATGCTCAACCAATCAAAATAAACAATCACTTGGTTTTGTAATTCAAGATTTGGATAAGCAGAAACTTTTAACGCATGCTCAAATGAATGTTTGTGCAAGTGCATATTGTAGAAGCCATTGCCTCGAACAGTTGGCTTAATATAAATAATTCAAGTGATAATGAATGGATTAGACAATTACCTGAAGAGAGAGGGATTCAAGTAATTTTACATAATCAGCAGTAGAACACCATGCGGGAAGATAAAAAGCATCACATATCTTGTTTAACAGCTCTTTCTCCTCTGGACGCAATGATTCTTCAGAAGGCAAGAGATTCCTATGACACCATGTAACTATAATTATCGTCCCACCTGGAGCTGCCACTCGAGCCAGTTCACTGACAAACTACCAGCACGAGAAGGCAAGGAGGTAAAATTACAATTAGATCACTCCAAAGAAAAAAAAAATCTATATAAGTACAGATAGACTAGGAAGGTGATAGCAAAAATAGAACCTTTGATTTGTCTGGCATGTGTTCTCCACTCTCCATGGACCAAACCAAATCAAATTGCCCATCCTGAAATGGTTGATTCAATGCATCGGCTACTTGGAAGGAAACCTGTACTATCTCGCCTTAGTTAGCTAAGATAGTCATGCTTAGGGGAGAGAACAAAACCCTGAAACTCTAACGGAAAACAAAAACTGGCTTTACCGAACAGAGAACTGGCCAGTTTGGAGCTCTAGGGATTTTTTTAAATAGCCTTTTAAATCAATGTGATTTTTTGGTCTTTAAGCAATCACGATAATAATGCAGTCACACACACCTAATCCAACACATTTTTTAAACCGGATACCAAAATAGCCGAAACAGTCAAAATTCAGTTTCTTTACCAGATTGGTCCCATTCTCGGCTATATTTAAGTCACTCATATAACACACAGCTAAAAGTTCTCTCCATGGATATGCTAACTCTGAAAATTTTAATGACCGTTATGGTATACAAATAGGTGCAGAAGAAATGTAGCTCTGATCAGAAATTCCATTAACAAATTCACAGAAACAACATTTACTCAGAAATCCCAGAAATGGCACCATTATTTTCATCAAATAAATCTTTCTCATTTTCTATCTGGATGAGAGTAGCTACAAAGAGTAAATTCACACATTGAATCACAACTGAGATGTAAATTTGCAGCTACCATAGGGCCCCTGAAAATGGATTATTATATATGATCTTGGAAAACAAATTAAATATTTCAGTTCGATCTAAAAATGTCTTTGCATTTTTTACGGAAAAAAGACTTCTTAGAAAATGCAAACTAGAATCCTCTAGATACCTTGTCGTCCAATCCTTGAGCAGCAGCAAGAGCTTTCGCCCTCTGTGCTTGCACAGGGCTTAGAGTGATTCCTTGAGACCTCGCCTCATATTTTCTTGCCAGGTACCTTGAACTACCTCCTATTCCACAACCCACATCAACGATTTGTCTTGGTTTCTGCATTGGATCATCTGCAAATTCATCCAAAAAATATTGACAGAAAAGGTTAGCTTTGTAACTAGTATGCATGAAGAAATGCTAGTGAAGGGGAAAAATCCAAGGAGATAGTAGGGGAGGTGAATGTAAGATTTCACTCTGAAGCCACATGGAAATAAGCATAAACTCAGAAAAGGAAATTTATATTATTGAACTAATCTTAATAGGGACTGACAGTACAGTTTACAATCTGAATAAGAAATAATGAATTAGTTTGCAACTCAAGCATTTTTTAGCCTTGAAAATGATTTTTACTACTCTGTTTCACTCAATCCATTCAAAACCATTGATAGACGGGTTCATTCATAATTCGAGGAACCAATAAAACTCCCAATAAAAACAAAAAGTTTGCAAAAATTAATTAGTTGACATCTTCTTCATCAGTTGTTTACATTTAAATACTTGAGTAATCTAACCATTATATTCTAAAATTAGGGACCCTCTTGCAATCTAACACACCACTATCTAATCTACCTATAACTTTCTTGACTAATTCAACTAAAAAGAAATCTAATTAAATTCTTGTTTGGGAGGGATTAAAATCAGATTAAAATTGAAAATATAGCTGCTGGAGTTAGACTTTTATTAGACGAGTGATTCCCGGCTATATTTTCAATTTTAATTGGATTTTAATCCTTCCCAAGCTCTAAATTTGAAAATAAATTAAATTTAATGTAGAGGTCCATAACAAACAAGTAATTACGACACGAACCAGAAACGGAAGCGAAGCGGAGCGCCTTCTCGATCATGCGGATTTGGGCGGAGCGATGGTCGGAGAGCGAAACAGAAGAATCCGGTTCGTAGAATCCATGGTGCATATGGTCTCCCCATATATTCTCCCATATTCCGGACGATTCATCGTAAAACTCCGCTATCCCCTTCTGCAAAGTCTCCGTCGCCGCAGCATTTACAATTGTCCGCATCCTTCTACCACCACCACTACCACTTACGGCCGTACTATATCTTCTATTCCTAATCCTAATCCCAAAATCCTCTGTACAATTACTACCAGTTCTGCTCAACACCTGTACTACTGGTGCATTCCGGCCAATTATGTGACCTCTGCTAATGAAAGTAGGGCGGCCGGGGGCCCACTGAAGCGCTGTGCCGGATTTGCAGGTGCTAAATACTCCAATACAACTACCAACCATCGTTACTTTTTCCGATGAAGATAGATATTAATGGAATTAGCAGTGTATCACACAGTTGTGTCGTGTTCACGAAAAAGGTTGGTAGGAAACAAGCCTCTGTTTGGGATTTCTTTTGCTATAATTATAAGTTGGTAGGAATGTGAGGTGAAAAAAAATAAAAAAAAAGTTTTATATTTTCTACTTTGCTACTGAACAAAAAAATTATAATTCAAAATTATATATGTATTTTTTGACAACCACGTAGAGTTTATCATTTTAGTGTAAACTACCAAAGAATAATCAACTTTTATGTGGTAATATGAATTGTCACGTTTCCACATGTTGTTTGTGGATATTTCTAACATTGGGAATGAGAGGAAGAAATGATGAATTTTGGGTGACCAATTTAGGAGGGCTTTGGAAATAATTAAATAAAATACTCACATGTCTCAATTATATAGGCTGCGTTTCTTTCTTGTCCCAAATATATAAGTCTGTTTTCTAATGTAAAATATTTTTTATGTTCCTTTACCAATATACCCTTATTAAATTTTCTTTACTTAATATGTCAACTTCTTGAAATAATTCAAATACACACATTTTCAACTTCTTGGAAACATGGAATAACTCTCATTTCTTCTTCTTCTTCAAATTCCAACAATAATTTAGTTTTACATATTAAAAATTAAATATGAGTAAATTAGGAAAGATCTTGACAAAAATTAATTTTTCAATGACATTAAAGAAGTTTTTTTAATCCATGTGAAAAACTAAACAAGCCTATATAATTTAGACGGATGGAGTATATTATATTAAAAAGNTCCGTATGAAAAACGAAACAAGCCTTTATAATTGAGACGGAGGGAGTAATAAAGTTTTGGGGAAGAATATGAAGTGAGGTATGGTGGAAAATAAAGTTTTAAAGATTTGGAATCATAGGTTGTACATAAAAAAAAAATGGGTATAATTTGTAAAAGAATAAAAAGTTTGGATACTAAAATTTCAATTATTACTTTTTAAATTTTCACATTTTTACTGTTTTTAACTGCAAATTTGACGGTATGAGGTCTTTCGCACAAAAAATTTCAAATAGGAGGATTTTCTGCGATTTCCAATTAATATGGGATATATATGCAAATCAGGCATCCTAACGGACAGGTAGACTTGAACATTGTTTCTATATGACCTGATCAATTTGATCAGGCACTACCATCTTACGGGTAGGGCTAATTTGCGGATGAAGAATTAACATGCAAATGTAAACGTTTCTAGAAGGGTTTTCTACTGTTAGTCCGTTTGTAAAACTACAATTGGGTGTACATTTCCTCCAAACTTTAATACTTTATAACACTACATTGTCGATCGAATTAATCAAATATTCCCAGTTAGACATATCAATCTTGTGGGGGTTGAGAAAATTAACCAAAATTATGTATCTTTCTAAAAATCAATACTCTTGCA